ATAACCCCCTATTACCAGGTGCCCGTAAGACAGAAGGACCTTGGCTTCCCAATCTGGGCTTGGCCTCACTAATCATTCTCGCCCATCTGCTTAATTTAGTTGACCCAATTGTGAAAAAAACACGCGGTCCTCGGTAATTTTGATGTGCAGTTAGCAATTTATTCTCATCATTAACCCTCATCAGTTCCGTTTGGATTATTTTCTCCTAAAGGTTATAACAACTTCCTGTCAGACTAATTGGTCTAAAGCTTTACCTGGGTTTATCTCGCCTTCTTTATAAATAAGGGTTATGTAAGTCAATTCCAGTCGGTAGGCCGAGCCCCTCCCTTTTCAAAATTTCAGATGTCTTAGAGAGCTTAAAGGCCTTTTTTCTGCGAGCTCATTCAGAACCTCCGTTGATATGTTATCCGGACCAGGTGATTTAGTGGACTGCTGGTGACAAATGATTTTTTTACGGTTATTTGCGGACGACACGGTGTGAATTTTATCTGTTAGTGTGAAGATATGTCGCTGTAGTTTCTCATCAAAAGGTGGCTCCTCGGTATACACAGACATAAAAGGATAGATAAGAAGTTTGCTCTTATGTGAAGTATCTGTTTACACGATACCTTGTTGTCTTTCTGAGGATGAATGGGGTCTCGATTACGTTTTGCCTTATGCACGTAGCTAAAGAAACTTTCCGAATTGTTGGGTAATCCTTTCGCTAGTTCTGACTCTAAGGCCAATCATATTGTCCTCAGGAGATTTCGATATTTATTTTGCTGTTTCTTAAAAAAACAGAAGTGTACGAGTTGTTGATATCCGGAATATGTTTCCAATGGTCTTATTTTCTTCTTGTGGTCCATTTTTGATGTCCGATGACACCCACTGCGGCTGGTAGATCCGCGAGCGTTTTTTGCGGGCACCCGTTCTTTAGCGAGCGCTGACCCTAGTTCCCAAAGCAGCAAAAGGCGTCGTCTGGATCAGGTACGTGTGCAGGACTCAAATCGTTCTTGTGGAGTATTCCTTTTATTTTGGTTAATCCCCTGTGCATACGTTCCTCTCGTTTACTGCTGGAATGATGGGTACAGAGAACGACATTGGGGACGTCTAAAGGGCACAGATAATTCAGTCTAAGGATGCAGTTTTCTACGAAATCCAAACAGCTAGATTTTTAGTCATTTCGGAATCGGATGTCAAAATCGAGGTAAAGAGCATGTTAAATACGAATTGCGCAAAAATAAAGCAATGCATGTCTTCTACCTGGCGACCTCTTAGAGTTAAGAGATCATCCATTCAAGATACCTGTAACTGGGGCCAGGCTTAGAACAAGAAAGTACATCGTTTTAATAGGGTGGTCGAAGCTTGGAATAGTCTGCCTCTGAATGTTGTGATGGCTACATCCGTTAAAGTCCTAAAGAGGGGGCAAGATTGTTAAAGCAATGCTCACTCAAACACAAACTGACAGGCGAAAACCTATATTGAATTCTTATAGTGTTATTTGCTTCGTTTGAGTAATATTTGTTTGTGAAATTATTCTCTACATCAAATTCATCTTATATGCATGCAGCTCAATTATGTCGACCACCAACGGATCGTAGTGATCGTGGCGGATTCTCCTGTTTTCGTCACGTTGATGGCAGCCTCGGTAATCGGAAAGGGCATATTTTGGTCGCAGCTCCGGCACCTCGAGAGCCTCGGTGTTGTAAACGTTGCCAAAGCCGAGATGTCACTGATTAAGTAGCCTTTTGTTAGTTCCCAAGAAAGAACGCGACAAGAAGAGCACAAAAGCACAAAGCAGGGGACCCGTGGACTAGAGGCAGCGTCTCTAACGCAATGACC